CCTTCAGCATGATCATATTCTGTGCCGTCTGGATCACCTTTATCCCAGCCTATGTCAGCTCACCTGGGAAGTTCACTGTGGCCGTCGAGATATTTGCTATTTTAGCTTCCAGTTATGGCCTTCTTTTCTGCATTTTTGCACCAAAATGTTACATCATTTTACTAAAACCAGAGAAAAATAACAAAAAACATGTTATGAGTAAAATGGTATCAAAGGCATTATAAATATGTACTTGTATTTGACTGGCTTCTGCGTGATCTATTTCTGGAGAATATTTCAGACAAATGCAGCTGTTTTAATTACATAACATAGTAAATTAAATGTGTACGAATTGCATGGGTTATAGAAGCACAATTTTGATATTTATGTTACTTTACTGTATGTCTAAACTTGTTCATGCTAGAACCCAGAGCTGTTACCATGCATCCTCTCTAAATCATATTGCCATACGATATACCAATATATGTGTCATACATGCTGTAAACTCACGTTCACAGGTACTTTTTATTTGAAGGCAACGAAGCATGCAGGTACACAGGTGCTCTCTTTTAACTGTAACTGCTGTGTAGCAGCTACCCTGCCTACACCGCTAATTAGAGGAAGCACCATCAGCCATGTCCCTGCTCTCAGCGTCAGCCACCTGGGAGGTGTTGCTATATTTTAATTGGTAACACTTTACTTGACAGGGCACAAATAATATAGCATTATGCTATTACTAATGTATTAATTAACCACAAACTAAGTCTTAGTTACATACTGATGTCACGTTAATTCATCATTAATGAGTTGTGAAGCATGGTTAATGTTAATTGTGTACACCTTTGTGAAATATTGAAAGAACTACTGAAGGGAAAAGTCAAGAATAACACGTTAAAAATTGTTCTCATACTTTTTCATCATTAATGAATAATGCAACTTTTACCCCAAGCAGTCATATTTGTTACAAAATCTGTTAATTCTGTAAATCTTTGTGAACTACTGAAGGAACAAGTAATGAAAACAAATGGAAAATACCGATCTCATGTTTGTTCATCATTAATGAATCGTGATGCATCTTTTATCTCAAGCACACTATATTTGTTCATGATTTATACTTCAGTAGTAGCTGAGTTATTACTAAGTATTTTCTTGTCAAGTAGAGTTACCTTTAAATCCTAAACAAATAACTAAACAAATGCAATTAAATCATAAATACCAGGAAATTGTGCAAAACTTAAAGCAAAGTGTCAAATATGAACCCATGCAGACTGGCAACACACATTTCGGGTCAGATATCTGTTTCAGACCCTCAGACGAGTTAATGGGTAAACATCAGCACATCAGATTATTAGTACACCCCAAATGTGGGTAAATGCCAATTACATTGGTATACAGTGATTTTGGTGCCAAAGATGCCTGAACGGTTTTATATTAAGTTT